TCTCCAACTAGTTCGGAGAGGACGGTGGAGGAGAGGAGGGATCATAGGGTGGTAGAAGAGGAAGAAGATGAGATTCCCTCCAACATTTTGGAGGCTGGGAATAGGGTAGATGGGTGTTATGACCTGGATTTAGATATAGTATATGAGGTGAGGGGATATGTGAGCGAGTTAGGTAGTAAGGAAAGTCTTAGGGGCCTCGTGGGTAACTGCAACCTCCCTCACCATGTCCTAATTAGGCATGCCGGGGTGAATGAGAGGGCATGCTCAGCACCCCGAGACAATTGGATGCCCCTATACGTCCATTATTTGACAGCAGGGCTTAGGTTTCCCATTCCAGAATTACTGGTGGGGCTATTATTAGATTACAGTATAGGAATAACCCAATTAACCCCAAATGCCATAAGGGTAATAATAGACTTTCTTGTATACTGCAGAGTTCGGGGGGTGGGAGTCCCTACAGTGAACATGTTCAAACATTTTTTTATAATAAAGGCTGGGGGTAAGGGGGAGAAGGGGTGGTACTACTTCGACCCTCGGTCGTCCAGTAAAGGGAATAGGAGTTTATTCTCTGCTGGACCGTCATCCATCAAAGGGTGGAAAGAAAAATTCTTCTTTGTGGATGACACCGAGTGGAGTAGGAGGGATGCCGAAGTGGAACAGTTGTCTGCTTGGAAAGCGAAGAAAACCAAGCAGAACAACTATAAGTTGAATGAGGATGAGGTGGAGGAGGTGGAGAAGCTGGTGAGGGAAGATGGAGACGTAGTGGATATCTTGTACCTCACTAGTCCGAAGGCAATAGAGGCTGCTGAGCTCTATGGGCCAAGCTCATTGAGCGAAGGTTTGTGTATGTTTATAGTGTGCAATTTTGATGAGATTTTAACTGGTGTGTTCTAATATTGACGTTTGTTTTGCAGCTGAGATGGACGAGTTCGTTAATGCGGCTGGGGGCTTGCACATCCCAAAGAAGCCAAGGAAGAAGTCAAAGACTTCAACTGCGGCGGAGAAGGGGGTGGCAGTGAGGGGGCGACTGTCCAGCACTTCTGCCCGGGCTGTGGAGGTGCAGCCAAGGCCGGAGCCTGTGATGGGGGGTGACGAGGATGTAAGTGAGGAGGTGGCACCTCTCCAGAGGAAGAAGAGGAGGGTGGCAGAGCCAGAAGCCAAGGGGGACGAGGTGGTGGAGTTCGTGCCCTGGCCTTTTCCTCCAGAAATTAACCCTGAAGACAGGGAGAGGTTGAGGTGCGAGGTGCGAGGCCTTGGTGGGGGCAAGGAGCGCATCCCTCCTCACGCGTACTAGAAGAGTTTGTTTGAGGCGACAAACACGATTGGGGCAAAGCACTTCCTCAAATCTACTCTTCCTGAGGTGGATAGGATGCAGGTGAAGGACGAGGTGGTTAGCCATGTGGGGTATACCGTTGTGAGGCACGCCCTAGAGGTATGCGAAATAGTTGGAATTTACTCCGGTTGTATGTTTGAGTTTTTT